TTTTTTTTACTAAGTAAATCACTCTTGGGCTTGTAACAAAAGTTGTAAAGCTCATCAAGAAGCATTTAATAGTAGTAAGAATATTAAAATCGGCTTGGTAGTTCTTAAGAAATCTTTAAAAACTTCTTTTTCATATATAAAATTTCTTTAAAAAAATCATTTTTTTTTAAAGAAATTTTATATGTGAAAAAAAAAGTTTTTTAAAGATTTCTTAAGAACTACCAAGCCAATTTTAATGTTCTTATTATTATTAGATACTTCTTGATAAGCTTTACAACTTTTGTTACAAGCCCAAGAGTGATTTATTTAATAAAAAAAAAGTTTTAGATAGGCATGCTTCATATTCAAGCTTATAGTAAAATTTATATATAAAAAAAAAATATTTGTTCAGATGACTTATGATTTGCCAATTAAATTATTACTTATATGGTAGCAGTGACTGACTTGCAAAGTTTTATATTATTTGAGGATAAAGAATTAATATGTCAAGTTCGGTATTTTCCACCAAACCGAATTGCAAAGATATCTACTAGAAAAATTATTAAATTCTAGATAATATGACACTGATGGAGTTTCCAGTAAAGAGAACCATCAAGGTTAAATGACCAACCCTAATTTATCGATTTTTAATGAATAATTAGTTTCATTAATCTGAAATTTGAAAGTATCAACAGTATCATCTGCTTCGTAATCGAGTAAAAGATAAGTTCTCGAAGTTACACATATATCCTCTTTGTCGATTATACTATTATCTACTAAACTAATAATTTCTGATTTTTTTATTAGCCACTCATCCTCATCACATGGTATTGACCAATAACTCTTTGCAACTTCTTCGATTAGATAACTCTTGACAGTAATCCATAACCTCAAATCCAGATAACAAAATATGTATTCATTTTCAGAGAAATATAAGTTATTTCCATACCAACATTGAGCAGATAGACTTTTGTAATTACGTGAGTATCTTTCTTTTTATCTTTTTTATTAAACCTAGTTGCAATATGTTCTAGATGATACTACATACTCATCATTTTTTTATAATAGATGCTTTCTGGAGTAAATCTAATATTGGAATAAGGCTTCAAGTATCATTGAATATCTGGGGGTGGCAAATATTTTAATATAAACTTAATGATATTCAAGATTTTTATATTTTTTGATTCGGATTGTTGATATGATCCTGCCATAAATACCTCTACAATATCTATTTTATCAGCGTAATCTTCCAAGTAATTTGCAATATTTCTTCTTTATTATGAAGATTATTCTCATAAATTCTTGATAATGTATCTGCATTTTTGTATATTTTTCTAAGCCAGTGAATTACTGTAAACTTGTAAGGTTCTAATCATATAATCTATCTAGCTCAGGCACCTTTTAGTTCACTAGTTCATAACCATTTCAAGGCTGTATGATCTGTAACAAAGTAAAAATATTTACATCCTATATATGGATAGAAATATTCAACAGCCTATACAACAGCCAAACATTCTAATTCAGTAGCTAAGTAATTCTGCTCTGCTTTATTTAGACTTCGACTAGTGTATGATACTACATACTCTCTTTTTTTTTCATCAAATTGAGCTAACATAGCTCCCAAGCCTGAAATAGACGCATTGGTATATATATAAAATAGCTGATCGAAATCGGGTTGCTGCAGTATCGGAACTGAGATGAGATGATTCTTTAACGCTTTGAACGATTGTTATTATTGCATAGTCTATACGTAAGGTTCATCCTTCTTTAATAATTGATTTAAAAGTTTAGCGATCTTTAAAAAATTTTTGATAAATTTTCTGTAATACAAAGCAAGTTCAAGAAATCCTTATATTTGTCACAAGGTCATTGAAACAGGATAATTTTTTATCTTTTCAATTTTATTCTTATCAGATTTTAATCTATTTCTTTCTATCACATGATCTAAAAACTTGATATTTGGTAAAAAAAAAAAATACTTTTCCAGATTTAACTTTAGTTTAGCTTCTTTAAGCTTGTCGAACACTTGCTGAAGATACTGAAGATGTTCTTTAAATGTATATAAATATATAGTAATGTCATCTAAATACACCACTATAAACTTGTTTATGAATTCTCTTAATACCGAATCTATTAATCTTTGAAACATAGTAGGTATATTATAAAGCCCGAATAGCATTATATTAAATTTGTAAGTGCTGAATTTAGTAATAAGGGCTGTTTTTTTTTTATCTTTCTTGGCCATAGCGACTTGCCAGTACCTACTAGCCAAGTTCAAACTTAAAAACTACTATACTTTTCCAAAACTATTTAAGACTTCATTTATATTAAATAAAGAATAAATATCCTTTTCTGTTATTATATTTAACTTTTGATAATCCACACAAATTCTCTTTTTACCATTTTTCTTAAGAACTATAACTACCAGTGATCCCCAAGGTCCTTCCACAGCTTGAATTATATCTAACCTCTCCATTTTTGATATTTCTTTTTGTAGGAATTCCTGTGCGTCTGGAGGAATTCGATATGGCTTCTGTTTAATTGATGCCATATTTCCTGTATTAATACAATGTTAAACTATATTGGTATAACCTAATCCCATAGTCTGATCTTCTTCCAATA